GGGATAAGTGCTCGAATTACATTACATTACCAAAAGAAGCAGTTGATCGATATAAAATCTTTTAATATCCGTAAATTACAATGACACCCAAGATCACAGTACACTCTAATGTGCATTTCAAACGTTTGATTGATATTTAGAAAATAATCATATAAAACGGACTTTTGATTTCCTATATATTAATCATTTGTCAAGATTCGACAGTGATTTTTTAAGATTTTTTCAAACTCATAAGTTATTATCAATTGAAGAAGTAGCTAACTATTTTTTCCTTCAATCAAAATAACACCTAAGGTGAAAAAAGAAAATGTTAACGTTAACTAGATTTACGGCTTAAATGCAGGGGAAAATATATATTAAATGGTTTTATCAACACAAGAATACGAACTCAAAAAAAAGCAAGGTATTAAAGAAAAGAAATCAGAAAAGCAACTGTGAACAGAGATATTTTGTAAGAGCAAGGAAAAATGTAGGCGTCCTGATAACAATGTAGGCGTCCTGAAAGCAATGTACGCGTCCAAAGCATGCCTGTGTCAATATAGACACAGTTTTTTCGTGATTGAGCAAACTTCCAGACATGGAGAACACTGCTAACATTTATATATTTATGTTATTTTAAATAAGCATACTTAACAAAAAATTTTAATGATTGGAGTCTGGGAACAAAAAACACCTTTACAATTTTGGCCCACCTGCCCTTTACGCGAAAGCAACAAGTTTACATTTTTTTTTTTTTACCATTATTAATTAAATTTAAACTCATCAAAAAATTTAAAATTCCATGAAAAAATCTCTTAATGATCAGTTTTTATGACTCCTCAAAATTTAATGCCCCGTCAAACTGAGGGGTGTTTACACTTTATAAGGTCAATTAACAATAAAAGAATAGTCCATGAAATTTTATATTTTTCGATGAATTTAAATTTAGTTAGTATAGAGAAAAAAATATTTTGTAAACTTGTTGCTCTTGCGTTAAGAGCTGGGGAAAATTTTCAACGTTTTTTTGTTCCCAGGCTCTAAACACAAAGATCAGTGTTAGGACCACTATTATTTGTAGTGTATATTAATGATTTCTCCAACAAAATAAAATCAAGCTGTAAACTATTTGCTGACGACATGAAAATCCTTAGAGAAATAAAAAACAAGGTATAGACTTATTTATGGGATGGTCGAATGAGTGATTGAAGAAGTTCAACCAGCAAAAATATAAATTTATGATAAAAGGAAATATTAGCACAAAGTTTAACGAATAATACAGCTTTAGCCTACACAAGTATAAAAAAGGATTTAGGAGTGTACATTTCAGATGAATTGGAATGGAAACACCATGTGAATAAAGCAGTAAATAAAGCAAATCAAAAGCTAGGTCAAATCAAACACACTTTTAAATATTTAGACAAAAAACAATGAAATTCTTGTTTATAGTCCTAGTACGTCCACATTTGAAATACGCAGCTCCTATCTGCAATCCTTATCGTCAGTATGATAAAGATAAACTAAAGTGTGTCCAACAAAGAGCTTCTAGAATTAAAATTTTGAATGGATACAGTTATGAAGAGAGGTTAAAGAAGTTAGATTTACTATCGTTGGAGAACAGAAGAAGAAGGGGTGATTTGATACAAATGTTCAAATATTTGAAAGGGTACGATATTATAAATTTTTACACGAAACCCGAAATGCTAGATAACGGATATAAAACTAGAGGTCACAATAGTAAACTGAGAAGGCAATATACAGGAAATATAAAACGACATAACTTTTTCACAAATAGAGTAGTAAACGACTGAAACAATCTTGAACAAGAAAAAATAGACGCAGTCAGCATCAACCAGTTCAAAAAAAAAATTAGATGAATATTTTAAATACTAACTTTTATTATGTTTGAATGTTAGTGTGTTACAGCTGTTAAAGTTACAAACTCTACGTAGTTTAGACTCATCACTCTTTAAATGTACAGCACTATTATATTAAATATTATATTATAAATCATCTTGCGATGATTTTGTTGCAGCTTTATAATTTGTAAAGCTGCTACAAAATCATCGCAATTTTTTGTATTTGATCTTTATTCAACATAAACATATAAAAGTTTAGAGTGTTCTTTATGTCTGGAAGTTATCTCAAACATTAAAAAACTGTTTACATCAAAGGTGGCAAGTATGTTTCAGATGGAGCTTAGATTCATGAATGCTCATTTTGACATAATATTTTAATATCTCAATGCAGTACAGCATCATGCCGAGGTAAAACAGGCTCAAACCCGATAATGATCAAACCAATTTAATCAAAATTACCAACAAGATAGTGTTATTTTGATATTATAACAAAAAACGTCAAAAAATTGTATATACCTGGTTCTTTCTATATCATTATGTCTTTGCTAATTTTTGATTATATTTTGCTTATTTTCATACTTTTTGTTCATGAAGAGTTTTTCAGGGGTAATGTTATAAAAGAAATTAATCAATTAAGTTTTTATATACTTTTTTTTGAACTAGTGCCTTAAAACGTTAAACAAATCTCAAAATGTAAGGTAATTTAAAAGTCAAATTTGAGAAGTATGAATTAATTTTCCGCGCGAATCTTTTTAGTATTGTTTTCGGAGACGTTGAACAACGTTTCTGATAAATACCTGCAAACCTAATTTCAGAAGTTTTTAAAAACTGAATTTTTTTCTTTTTTTCAATTTTGTTAATTGCTAGTAGACTTTTTCAACGTCTTCGAAATTTGGAGATTATTTTTAAGGATAACATTTTAAATTTTTTTTCTTTTTGATTTAACATTACATTCTTTGAATGCATTTAACATTACTTTTTTTAAATGCATTTGACTTAAAATGTGTGTACAAACATTGTAAGTTAAATGCATTTAAAAAATATAAGACATGTGTCTCACATTGGAAGAATTACCTATGTAAGTCTTACAGTGTACAATTTGTAAAGCTGCAACAAAATCTTTGACATTTTCATCTGAAGCCTTATTCCACCTGTGGCAAAAGGAATCTAAGAGATTTTGACTTTGATATTTTGGATTTAATTGCAGGCATAGAATGGAAATGTTAAAACTTTAACAATTTGGTCTCAGAATAATACATTAAAATGGATAAATAGTAATACAGATGAAGGAAGAAAAAAAAAAATATATTAAAGAACAAAAGTTACAATGATGAGAAACAAATATAATAAAAAAAAAGATGTTTTTAAAAATAATAAAGTTATGCTCTCTCAACGAGAAGAAAAAAATAGAGAAGAGAGTATAATACAGAAGCAAGTCTTAAATATTTTAGACAATATTCTTATTTCTGTATAGATAAACTGTTACTAGTTTTCTTCATTATCATTAAAAATTCTAAATAAATACTTTTAAAAATTTAATTTTATAACTTTATAAGTATTGTTAAAGTAAAATTCAATTTTTCGTGTCAAACATGTTTTAACAAACATATTGTTTAAAGAAAAAGTTAAAAAAAAGTTATATATAAAAAACGTTCTGTATAGTTTTTTGAAGAAAAAAAACGTTACAAAAAAAAAATTACTTAAAAACTTATTTTAAAACATTTCGATTAGTAGAAAAACGATAATATAATCCAACCTATTTAAAATGAAAAAGATTTTAGTTGGATCTAAAAATTGCCCAAATTCCCTACTAAGATGCATTTTTTTTCCGAATCGACCTCCAAAAAATTTTCACGCTACGGGCCTGATTTTTATTAATACATAAGATTCCCGTTAAGTCGGACTCTCAAGGGCAATAGATAATTACTCCAACTTAGCAAAAGTCCGAATTAAGCCAAGTTTTCGGTATGTATAGCGAGTTCAAGAGGTATTGAAAATCTGTCCGACTTTGTAAAAGTCCGGCTTATTCAGGATCTGAGTTAACGGTATTATACTGTTACATGTAAATTTTATTTAGTTTAATAAATGAGTCACCATTGATTTTTCTAAAATGACCAATTTATTTATCGGATTAATTTTTTCTACATGTTTTGTAGCTGAAAAAAATCTTTTAACCTTCTGTTTGCTTGTTTTTTAAATTTCACATATGAACCTTATTAAAACATGTTTAAGTCAAAAAACCTTTTCTGTCAGATAAAACTCTCATAAAATTAGTCTCAAAAGGAACTAAAAAAAGTCAAGATCAAAGGTAAAGATCCATAAGTGTTTAAAGTTTAGCAAAATTTCAAAGATACCTTTACTTTGTTCAAGAACATAGTACAATAATTTAATATTTAAACATTTTTAATACTGTTCATGAAAAAACTAAAATATGACGCTTGTTAGTCTATTTAGTACGAGGTCGAGGTACGAGGTTGATTTGTTTAGTACTAAGAAGTGTATTTAATGAACTACTGAAAAAATCTAATGCCGGTCATATTTATCGCATTTTTAATCAATGGTATATTGTTATATTGCATAATTTTTTACAGCTATCAAAGACAGTTACTTCTAACATTACTGTTGCCTTCAAAGTAATATATCCGTCATAATTATGTATTTATAAAAAAATAAAACTTTGTGTCCCATTAAGTACAAGTCAACTTTATGACTAGATTTGATCTCCTCTGTATTACTGCAACGTTTATATATGCATTATTGATTTGCAAACAGTTTAGCTTTGCAAACGAGAAAATATTTTTAAAAGTATTATATAATTGCGTTTATAATAATTGTATTTGTATATATATATATATATATACATATATATATATATATATATATATATATATATATATATATATATATATATATATATATATATATATATATATACATATATATATATATATATATATATATATATATATATATATATATATATATATATATATATATATATATATATATATATATATATATATATATATATATATATATACATATATATAATATATATATATATATATATATATATATATATATATATATATATATATATATATATATATATATATATATATGTATATATATTATAAATAAAATTTATATCTACATATTCGATAGCTGTAGATATTCGAGTTGGTTCAGTTCTCGGTCGTCACTCAGTTACAAGAGAACTTTACGCAATTCATCGGAATCGAAAAACGTACTTAATGTTTCATAATTATTTCCACAAATGGCTTGTTATTACGACTCAACAGTTTATGGAAGTGGCTTTCAGTTATCTTGATCTTTCTTTGCATAAAAGTTTGGAAGGTGATTTTGATCAAATATATACTTTTGGAACAAATCAATGGTTAGGTAAAATAATTATATTTTTATCAATTTATATCAACATTAGAGTTCTGATACTATCAAATTAGAATTACGATAATTGACCCTTTCACATATTGAACAAAGTTTAATTATGTTTGCTGTTTATTTCTAGTTCTCTTCAAAATACATTAGAGTCAATATTTTATATTCTATTATTGTGCCGCATTCTTAAGAGTTAGTAATAGAATTTAAACTATAAAAATTAAAAATGTTATATATATATATATATATATATATATATATATATATATATATTTATATATATATATATGTATATATATATATAAATATATATATATATATATATATGTATATATATGTATATATATATATATATATATATATATTTATATATATATATAAATATATATATATATATATATGTATATATATATATATATATATATATATATATATATATATATATATATATATATATATATATATATATATATATATATATATATATATATATATTTATATATATATATGTATGTATATATATATATATAAATATATATATATATATATATATATATATATATACATATATATGTGTATATAGATATATATATATATATATATATATATATATATATATATATATATATATATATATATATATATATATATATATATATATATATATATATATATATATATATCACTGTTCCATTTGTCTCTTACATCTGAATGAGCTTCAGATGTAAGAGATTGCAACATCTATTTAGTTCCATAGATGTTGTAACAACTGGACTACATTCATTTAATGGACCTATTGGAAAATCTATTCCTAAGCTATTGCAGCCACCCATAGTCTACTTTGCTGTTATTGGTGGTGAACCTATTAATTGTGATAAAGATTTATTAAGCAGTGATTAGTTGTACTCTTTTAAAATTGCTAATGCAGTGAAGATAGTGATTGCATAACAGGGATTTGAATCCAGATAGCCTGGGCAACTAAACCATTTAAGGTGATTGACACTTGCAAATCGTGTTTTGCGCCTATATATATCTACTGTAGCTCCATCAAATGAACTTACACTATTGACTAAATTTGTCGTAAATTCTAATGCAGTTGTATGGTTTGATGTAAAAAAGTATTTAAACTGTTGGAATGCAGCACCACACTATTACAAAATGATAGAAACATAACGATTTCTTCCTGTGCAGTACAGAATTGTGGTTTAGCAAGTTTTGAAGCGCAATAGCTATCCAGCTCATATTGAGAGCATTATTCTTGCTATATTGAAAGACAACCATCAAGTAATTCGTAGACTTGCTCTGAAAACAATTGCACATGCACGGGAAGATGACATACCAATTCGTAAATTTGAAATACCTGAAATTAGACTTCAAGCAACAAGTTATAATGAGCGGTTTGATTGGAAAAGGCTTCCTTGCTTCGAACCCGTTTTGACAAAACACATTTCTACCGCACAAATATTGGCCTGGCTTTAGTCAGATGAAGATATTGTTGTTGTTTTAGAACCATGTCCATGCCACAATCAAAGTGTTAAACGTTTAATTAAAATTGTCACTGAATCTGCATCTAAAGTTTATGGTCATGATGGCCGTGATGGCGTTCTTTTAGAGGGCCAAAAATTAATGCCTCATTTTGATACAAATCCTGAATTCAAACAGATTTAACCAAAATATTATAACTGTTGTTAATGGATAATGTAAAAATCATGCATTATTAACATTTGGTTTTGTAATAGTATTGAGTGTTCAATAAACTATACGATGTACAAAATATTTAATAAATGATATGTTACAAAATGGCATTTTTAAGTAAAGTTTCAAAGACAGTATAGCAAAGTAGTATAGAAAAACAGTTTGCAGCAAAAGATTCAGTATATTTGAGAACCACTAAATGCATATATATATATATATATATATATATATATATATATATATATATATATATATATATATATATATATATATATATATATATATATATATATATATATATATATATATATATATATATATATATATATATATATATATATATATATATATATATATATATAAATTAGTAAAAAATCACTTAGTAAAATTTTTTCTTATTTAACACTGTGTTTCATCAATAAAGACTCATCAGATGAGTCTTTGTTTTCAGATCAGATGAGTCACTGTGTTTCATCAATAAAGACTCATCAGATGAGTCTTTATTGATGAAACACAGTGTTAAATGAGAAAAAATTTTACTAAGTGATTTTCTAGTAATTTGTAATTGCTCTGTTCTTTTAAGAACTTATTGTAGAATACATTTTAAATTGTTTAAATAAATATATATATATATATATATATATATATATATATATATATATATATATATATATATATATATATATATATATATATATACATATATATATATATATATTCTTTTATTTCTAGCCTGGAAAATATTGAAAATGATTTATTACAATTAAATAAAACTATAGAATTTTAAAACATAAATACTGAATTCCAAAAAGAATTAAAACTAGACATTATTAATATAAAATTGAACCCTTTATTAATGTTTCAGGTTTAACAAACTCTCTTTGAATGTCAAAAAAAACAAAGTCATCCTATATCATAAATCAAATAAAAATGAAAATATTCCTCTTAAACTACCTGATCTAAAAATAAATAACACTAATATAAAAAGAGAAACGTTCATAAACTTTCTAAATGTGATATTGGATAAAAATTTGTCGTGAAAACTCCATATAAACACTTTAGAGAGAAAGCTCTCGAGAAATATTTCATTAATGTATAAAGCGAAACCTTTCCTAAATATTATTTCCTTAAAAGGTAAAATGGCCTGAGCAAGCACAAATTATACTAAGTATTTAGTATAGAGTTTAGTATAGAGTTAGTAAAGAGTTTGTTACACCTGAAACACTTATACTAACAAACTTTACAGTAAACAAAAACATGCCTGTTGAATTGTCTTTGAAGTAAGTAAAAAAGTGTCGTGTGATCATCTCTTATGCAAACTTGGAGCATTGAATATATACAAAATTACCATACATCTTGTTTTACAGTTTATGTACAAAATAAAAAATGGACTATCTCCGCCAATATTTCAACCCTATTTTAGCAAAATAAGTAATAAATAGCCTATTAGATTCTCAAATAACAACTTTGTCATCCCAAAACTTACATTAAAGTTGAATTAATACTCAATCCAAATCCCTATTTGTGGAATATTTTTTCCCAGATTGTTATTATCAAAAAAAATACACTTTAACAGTTTTAATCTGAATGAAAGTGTTTTTTATTATCTACAGACTTAAATTTTCTTTTTCTTTTTTAGTAAAAAATATTGATTGATTGATTAATATTTATTAGAACAAAGTATAAATACATGTTCTAAAGGACACGAAGAAGAAAACTTTAAAAGAATAAACAGTTGTTCCTTTTACAATAGATATTTTTTAAAGTTGAAAGATTTAATTTTATTTTTGAACGTTATAATTTTATTTGCATTTACAGCCTCCGAGGTCATATTGTTCCATATGTCAACAACTCGGTAAGAAAAGCTATATTTTTTTAAATCCAAGCGACAAGATTGTTTGCTTATTTTATAACTATGAACCCGGGTGTGGCTGTTATTGCCAGTCGCAAAGAACATAGATTGATCAGTACAGACAAGTTACAAAAAATTTTAAAGCAAGTTACTAAATCGTTTTTAAGGCGCCGAACATTGAGTGATTCGATACCAAGCAACTGTAATCTATTATGATAGGAGAAATATTTGAGGCTCCTTATTTTTTTTGTAAATTTTTGTTCAACTGATTTAATTAATCCAATTTGGTGTGGTGATCATACTGGAGAACAATATTCTAAAATTGGTCGTATATAGGTAATGAAAGCTCTAACTAGGATACAAAGGTCACGTGTTTTGAAACATTTCAAAATTAAGTATGCTCTAGAGTTAGCTTGATGAATGACGTTAAAAATATGTTTTTTATAATTAAGGTTACAATCCATTGTTACTCCTAGATCTTTTGGGATTGAAGACCAAGCCAAAGAGTATTCACCTAATTTATAGCTAATCTTTATACCTTTGCATGATGAAGGACGTGTTATTCTAAGTGAAAAACACTTACTGCAAGCAATTGTTAGTTGCCAAGTTTCTGCCCATTGTAAAAGTTAATTTAAAGCAACAACTAAATCTTGGTTTAGATCCATATCACAGTACGAGCCATATAATAGGGTGGATCGATTATCATAGCAAAAAAAAAAAGTTTAAAAATCAATATTCCTGAGACACGAATCAATGTCTATTAATTATAAGATGAAAGTAAAAAAATAGTTTTTGATTTTGATGAGATCTTGAGGTTCCTATTTGGATTCTAAATCCTTGACGGATTCTAATATCTTTGATTTTTTTTTTCTAAACTATATCAACCTTGGACTCAAAAAAAGCAGAAAAAAATGCTTGTTTTATCAATAATAATTTTATTTAAGAAAATATTTGCAAAAATATACCTTAAAACCCCCGTTTTGATAAAGACGGGGGTTTTTTAATGAAAAAAACGACATTATTTTTTTTTCTTTAGTTTTAAATTTAAAAAAATATTATATTCAAAATTAGCGTATTATTCTGCTTCTTTTGAGTACCAGGTTGATATAGTTTAGAAGAAAAATAATTTCAAAAATATCAGGATCCGTTAAAGAATTAGAATCCAAAGAGGAACCTCTAAAACTCATTAAAATTAAAAAAAAAAAAGTAGGGTTCTTTTTTCAACAAAAGACATCGATTCGCAGCTCAGGAAAATCAAATTTCAAAAATTTTAAAAATCAATCCACCCTACTATATAACTTTATATCATCTGCGTAAAGTTTTACACAACAGTACAGATTATTAGTTACAGCGGTTAAATCATTAACATATAATAAAAAAAATGTGGGGCCTAACACACTACCCTGTGGAACTCCGCTAACATTGCGTATAGAGTTTGATATAGAATTACCGACCTTGACTTGATGATATCTATCGGTGAGAAAAGCGGAAATCCAATTTAAAAGATTACTTTTTATGTTATAGGATGCAAGTTTTACTAATAGTTTGGTATGCAAGACAGAGTCAAACGCTTTTTGGAAATCAATACAGACAACATCCGTTATTTGATGGTTATCTAGTGCGGTGTTCCAATTATTAGCAGATTCTAAGAGATTTGTTCTGGTTGAACGTTTGTTGAGGAAACCATGTTGATTAAGAGATATTAAATTATCATGACCTAAATACTTTATGACATACACATTGATCATTCTTTCCATGACTCAACAGCAAGTGCATGTCAGTGAGATGGGTCTATAATTATTTGGATCTGCAGTAGCTACTTTTTTAAAAACTGGAGATACAAAAGCTTGGCGCCATTGTTTAGGTAAGGAGCTTGACTTAAAACTGGCATCAAATATAAATGAGAGTGGAATACACAATAGATGAGCTAATTTTTTCAGAAGTATGTTAGGTATGCCATCAGGACCGTACAATGTGCTGGCTTTAATTTCCTTCAAAGAATTATACACTGCTTCTGGTGGAAATAGTACAGTTTCAATACCAATTGAATCATCAACATAACTATTAATAAATGGAGAGCAACTGTTATCGTTTGTAAAGACACTGCCAAAGTGATTGTTAAACATGTCAGCGTTTTCTTCGTTATTACAAGTTATCTTTTTATTATTGTTTTTGTCTTTTAGAGGAAAAATACTTTAAGAGTTATTTATTTTTTTATTAACGTAATTAAAAAATTTGCTGATATTGTTTTCCTTTACAAGTATAAGTTCGAGTCTCATTGGGTAAGTAAGTAATGATTTTTTACATTTACTAGCGTATTTGTTATATGCTTTTTGTGTGTAATGTTTTTAGTATTTGACCATCTTTTCCATTAGAAAGCTTTACGATTTAACATTTTCCTAATAAAACTTGGGTAGTGTTTTTTTTTTATTTAAATTACTCTTTCTAAATGGAACAAATTGATGAATACCATTGCAAAAATGATCGGAGAAAACGTTCCAATAATCTTCAACTGTAAATAAAAAGAAAAAATCGAAGTCCCAATTAATATTTAATAAATAAGACTAAAAACCATCAAGGTCGGCATTAACAAAGTCGTAGAAGGATTCAATATTTTTATTTGACTGATCGAGATGATTTATATTAATAGAGAAGTGGACAGTGTTAAGGTCACTGGTGCTGAGTGGACTGGTGCTGAGTATACTGGTGCAGAGTGGACATTCAACTGAAATAAGACTAAGAAATGAGATATTATTTGAAAATACAAGATCAAGAATATTGTTTTCACGAGTAGGTTCCTGTACAAATTGGTGCAAACCGAGATTGTTGACTAAATTTAAAAAAAGGATATGGCACTTTTTGTTTGGTGATACGTAATTAAGCAAGTCAATTATAGGAAAATTGAAGTCATCGACAATAATAAATTTAGATACAGTGTGGCATATATTATATATAAATGCAGTCATAAGTTCGATATAAGTCACATCGGCAATGGAGTAAAAAGATGGGCAATAGCAT